TCACTGGCGCCCACTGTGATACCTCATCATGGACCATGACTCATTGTTGCCTCCCTGTTAAGTATTCTCCGATCCATTGCAGTGCCCTTCCTGCTATACATGCCTCTTCCTCTAGCTTCTGTACTAATCTCTTGTGAGGAACTATGTCGAAGGCCTTCTTGCAGTCCAAGAAAATGCAATCAACCCACCCCTCCCTCTCATTTCTTACTTCAGTTACCTTGTCATAAAACTCTAGTAGGTTTGTGACACAGGATTTGCCTTCCATGAATCCGTGCTGGCTGTCATTTATAATCTTTTTCTGCTCCAGGTGCTCCACCACTCTCCTGATAATCTTTTCCAAGACTTTGTATACTATACATGTCAGTGACACTGGTCTATAATTTAGTGCTTCATTTCTGTCTCCCTTCTTAAAGATGGGGACTACATTTTCCTTCTTTCATACTTCAGGTAGTTGCCCAGTTTCAAGAGCAGTGTTGAAGATTTTGGTTAGTGGCACACATAGTGTCCCTGCTCCCTCTCTAAGAACCCATGGAGAGATATAGTCTGGTCCCACCGCCTTTGAGGTATCAAGGTCACTCAGGAGCTTCTCCACCTCCTCCTCAGTTGTGTGTAATTCATCCAACACTTGTTGGTATATCCCTTGTTGCTGTACCCCACTGTTTTGTCTTCCTGTTGTCCCTTGAGCCTCCACTGTAAACACTTCCTGAAATCTCATGCTGAGCTCCTCACATACCTCCTGGTCGTTTCTTGTGAGCTCCCCACCTTCCTTCCTCAGCCTGATTACCTGGTCCTTGACTGTTGTCTTCCTTCTGATGTGGCTGTAGAGTAGTTTCGGATCGGACTTGACTTTCGATGCTATGTCATTTTCATACTGCCACTACGCTTCCCTCCTTATCTGTGCATACTCGCTTATGGCTCGTTGACTAATCTCTTTATTCTCCTGAGTCCTTTGCCTTCTGTACTTTTTCCATTCTCTAGAGCACTTAGTTTTTGCCTCCCTGCACCTTCAGGTAAACCAAGGCCTTGTTCTGTCCTTCCCATTATTTCTGTTACCCTTGGGAACAAACCTTCCCTCTGCCTCCTTGCATTTTGTTGTTACAAAGTCCATCATTTCATTTACTGATTTTCCTACTAACTCCTGTTCCCACTGAACCTCCTGCAGGAAGATCCTCATTCCTGTGTAGTCCCCCCTTTTATAGTTTAGCTTTTCCCTTTCTACTCCTGTTGCCCTCTCCACTGTTAGCTCCACGATGTATTCAAAGCTCATAACTACGTGGTCAATAGCTCCAAGGGGCCTTTCATATGTGATGTGCTCAATGTCTGAGCTACTCAGGGTGAACACGAGGTCCAGTCTTGCTGGTTCATCCTCCCCTCTTTCTCTGGTAGTATCCCTAACATGTTGGTGCATGAAATTTGCCAGCACCACATCCATCATCTTGGCTCTCCATGTTTTGGGACCCCCATGTGGCTCCAGGTTTTCCCAATCAATTTCCCTGTGATTGAGGTCGCCAATGACCAGTACTTCGCTCTACTTGAGTGAGCCCTTCTTGCCACTTCAGCTAGAGTCTCCACCATTGCTCTGTTGTACTCATCATATTCCTCTCTTGGCCTCCTGAAGTTCTGTGGTGGGTTATACATCACTGCAATGACTACCTTGTGTTCCCCTGACCGAACTGTACCTACTATGTAATCCATTTCTCCAATCTCGTCCATACCTTCCATTTCTTGATAACCCCACCGTTTTTTTATTAGTAGTGCAACTCCTCCTCCCCCCCTGCTTCTTCTATCCTTCCTCAGGATCTGATATCCAGGTGGGAAGATTGCATCTGTTATTATCCCAGTGAGTTTTGTTTCTGTAAACGCTACAATGTCAGGGGACATCTCCTTGATTCTTTCATGCCACTCCTCACATTTATTCGTTATTCCATCCGCATTTGTGTACCAAACCATCAACTTCTTTTCAATAACTGTGGTCTGGGGAGAGAGGTGGGTTAGGGGGAGCAGGTGCCCTGGCAGGGGCCTATAGGGGGTTGGTGTGGGGGTGGGGTCTGTGGTGTAGGGTGTGGGGGCAGAGGGTCTATCTGGGGTTTCAGTGGGGGTGGGGTGGTGAGGGGATGGGGAAGAGGGCCTATGGGGGCTACAGTGGGGGAGGGGATTGTGGTGAGGGGGATGGGAATAGAGGGTACAGCGTGTGGGTTGCTGTGGGTTACCGTGAGGGTGGGGTTTGTGGTGAGGGGGATTGGGGAGAGGGTACATTGTGTGTGTGTGTGTGTGTGTACTCACCTATTTGTGGTTGCAGGGGTCGAGTCTTAGCTCCTGGCCCAGCCTCTTCACCGGTTGTTACTGGGTCCTCTCTCTCCCTGCTCCATGCATCACTTTCTAGGCTATTCCACTGCCTGACAACTCTATGACTGAAGAAATACTTTCTAATATCTCTCTGACTCATGTGTCTTCAACTTCCAATTGTGACCTCTTGTTTCTGTATCCCCTCCCTGGAACATCCTGTCTTTGCCCACCTTGTCTATTCCGTGCAGTATTTTATATGTCATTATCATGTCTCCCCTGACCCTCCTGTCCTCTAGTGTCGTCAGGCCGATTTCCCTTAACCTTTCTTCATAAGACATTCCCCTTAGCTCTGGAACTAACCTTGCCGCAAACCTTTGCACTTTCTCCAGTTTCTTGACGTGCTTTATCAAGTGCAGGTTCCAAACAGGTGCTGCATACTCCAGTATGGGCCTGACGTACACAGTGTACAGTGTCTTGAACAATTCCTTATTAAGGTATCAGAACGCTGTGTGTGTGTGTGTTTGTGTACTCACCTAATTGTACTCACCTAATTGTGATTGCAGGGGTGTGTGTATGTGTGTGTGCACGCATGTGTGTGTGTGTGTTAGTTACCATTTTGTCCTAGGCACATGTTGATTAGACACTAGAGCCTGTTTTATCAGTGTGTGTGTGTGCGCGTGTGTGCGCGTGCGTGGTGGTGCGTGTGTGTGTGTGTGTGTGTGTGTGTGTGTGTACTCACCTAGTTGAGGTTGCGGGGGTCGAGTCTGAGCTCCTGAGTGTGTGTGTGTGTGTGTGTACTCACCTAATTGTATTCACCTAATTGTGGTTGCAGGGGTCGAGACTCAGCTCCTGGCCCCGCCTCTTCACTGATCGTTACTGGATCCTCTCTCTCTCTGCTTCCTGAGCTTTGTCATACATCTTCTTTAAACTATGTATGGTTCCTGCCTCCACTACTTCACTTGCTAGGCTATTCCACTTGCTGACAACTCTATGACTGAAGAAATACTTCCTAACGTCCCTGTGACTCGTCTGAGTCTTCAGCTTCCAGTTGTGACCCCTTGTCCCTGTGTCCCCTCTCTGGAACATCCTATCTCTGTCCACCTTGTCTATTCCCCGCAGTATCTTGTATGTCGTTATCATGTCTCCCCTGACCCTTCTGTCCTCCAGTGTCGTCAGTCCGATTTCCCTTAACCTTTCCTCGTACGACATTCCCTTGAGCTCTGGGACTAGCCTTGTTGCAAACCTTTGTACTTTGTGTGTGTGTGTGTGTGTGTGTGTGTGTGTGTGTGTGTGTGTGTGTGTGTGTGTGTGTGTGTGTGTGTGTGTGTACTCACCTAGTTGTACTCACCTAGTTGAGGTTGCAGGGGTCGAGTCCAAGCTCCTGGCCCCGCCTCTTCTCTGGTCGCCACTAGGTCACTCTCCCTGAACCATGAGCTTTATCATACCTCTGCTTAAAGCTATGCATGGATCCTGCCTCCACTACATGTCTGTGTGTGTGTAGTAAACCCTCAGGGATCTCGCTACATTAGAATAAACATTCAGTTCAGTGAAAAAAGGAAAACCAATATGCAAAGCTGGAGATGGGGAAGGTCCGCCGATCACTGACTTCTTGTGTATCAAACCTATGAAGTTACTTTAAGGATAACTGAAATTATTCAAGAAAGAAATGAAGAAAGAGCATTCATCTAGACCAAGGTAGGCTTCAAATAGTTCATGAAATACTAAAGTGTAATCTTCAAAAAGAAGGATGAATAAAAGGAAAACACATGCAATTAATGAGAAATTTTGTTTGATAAGTAAATGGTAATAATTACAGGAGGTAAACTGCCCTGAAAGATTAATGTCTCTATTGGAGTGCTATGAGAAACAGCATTTAAAAACTCATATAAATGATTTGCTAGCAGGAATAAAAATCATGAACAACTCTACAGATGATACAAGGATCTTATGCATGACAAGCAATAAAAATTATTGTATTCCTGAAGGATGTAATGGATAGAAAATTAATGTAGGTAAGTGCCATATACCAGATAATAAAAATAGGAGAAATAAAAATATGCACACAAGGAATATATTGTCTCATAAAAAATTAAAAAGATCAAACAAAAAGAGGAGTCTTGGGAGTCATCACTGACACAAGAGTGTCTTTGGAAGATTATATTAATAGAATTGTGAGAAATACTAAAAGAAAGCTGTTCACAAGTGGTAGACCAAAACTGGAATATGCAGCAGTGATATAGTGTACAGTATTTATCTAAAAAAATGGCAACATAAAACAAAAAGAAATCTATAGATAAGCTACAAAATGGCCACTTGAGCTTCAAACAAAAATATTGAGCTACTGCAGAAAGAAAGATAGACAGGATTAGACATGCTCACACTGGCTGATAAGGGAAAAAGAGGAGATTTGATAACCAATTATAATATTGTAAAGGAATAAAAGAAAATTCATAAAGATGGCATCCTGTCATACCTATAAACAAGGAAACCTGCCAAAAGGACACTAAAAAAATTGTTCTTCTCAAAGAGTGAAAGAATAATAGGATGGTTTACAAGAGGAAGTAGTAGGGTAAGTGCTATAACCAGTGAAACTTTAAAAATAATGTGATGAAATAAATACCAAAAATTGGACACTAGTAACTTGGCTCTCTTCTTGTAACTACAAGTACGTATGTAACTATGAATAGGCCATTACACACAAAAAATTCACTCACCCTTAACGTTGGGCCACCTGTACTGTTGCTATAATAGTACTGACGAGTGGCATTAGCTAGGTGGTCCAGCCAGCCAATCTTGTGGGGCAGACCTGGCCGCTCAGCATTTCCAATGGCATACCTGTTAAGCCGAGGGGCCAACTGAATTGTATGTAGACTGGAAGGGAGCTCTAGCAAAAGAGCAAGTTGAGTGTTAGATCAGCTATCTATGACCCAACACTCAACTTGCTGATAAACCTGACTGTTTAGTCAGGCTTTTCAGCTGCAGTTGTCATAACTGCTTTTTGATGACATGGTGCTTCTAGAAGATTCTGAAGACAAGTTGCAAAGGTTGGTGGACAAATTTGGGAGGGTATATGAAAATGGTAATTTAGAAGTGAACATAGGAAAGAGCAAGATGATCAGAATAACCAAAAATTTAGGTAATGAAAGACTGGATATCTGATTGGAATGAGTATGAAGGAAATGAGTAAGTTCAGATATTTAGGAGTGGACTTCTCAGCAGATGGACCAATGAAAGATGAGGTGAACCATAGAAAGGAGAAGGAAAAAAGATGGGTGATCCATTGAGGCATCTGTGAAGACAAAAAACATTATCTATAGTGGCAAAAAGAGAACTACATCAGAGTATAGTGGTACTAGCACTCTTACACGAGTATGAAGCATGAGTTTTAAACATTACAGTGGAGAGGAGATTGGAGGCAGTGAAAATGTCGTGTCTGGTGGCAATGGTATGCCTCTGGCATGTTGATGATGATGGAGTGAGTGACAGTGAAGTGTTTCTCTTTTTTGGGTCTCCTAACCTTGGTGGGAGATGGCTAGTGTGTTAGAAAAAATATAATAAGCAACAAAAAGGAAAGTAAGAGTATGCATGTCATGTGTTCTCACGTATTCAGGAGAAAAAGAAGACACACCAATCATGCCAGAGTGCAAATTTTTGAACAGCCTTCTTTGTTACACTCATATGGATAATAGTACTACATCTCTGAATGGGTGTTTTTTACCAACCTACTACTGAAACAACATCAGGAATGCCTTACTTGAATTAGCAGAAGATTGTGAAACTTCAACATGAAAATGAATTTCTTATATTTATGAAAATGGCTCATGTTGAAGTTGACAAAAAATTTCTTGAAAAATGCACATTAAAACACATGAAATAAAACATTGTCATCTTATGATGGCCAGAACTAACCAACTACGCATATTAGTTAGTAAGTGTTATATTACTGCAGATTTTTTTATAGATGTAAGTGTTGCATAAAAATTAGTGTTTGTTTTATAAAGTTATAGGAAACTAATATGGGTCTCAGAGGCTGGTTTACCCTGGTCCCAACGTACCTCGTAAGAATGGCTTTGCTGACAAGTTATGATACATACTTTTTTTTTTAACACATCGGTCGTTTCCCACCAAAGCAGGATGGCCCAAAAAACAAAAACTTTCATCATTCACTCCATCACTGTCTTGCCAGAGGCATGCTTACACTACAGTTATAAAATTGCAACATTAACACCCCTTCTTCAGAGTGCAGGCACTGTACTTCCCATCTCCAGGAATCAAGTCCGGCTTGCCAGTTTCCCTGAATCCCTTCATAAATGTTACCTTCCATACACTCCAACAGCACATCAAGTCATTTGTCTCCATTTGCTCCTATCTAACACGCTTACTCATGCTTGCTGGAAGCCCAAGCCTCTCGCACACAAAACTACATTTACCCCTTCCCTCCAACCTTTCCAAGGCTGACCCCTACCCCGCCTTCCCTCCACTACAGATTTATACACTCTCAAAGTCATTCTATTTTGTTCCATCCTCTCTACAAGTCCAAACCATCTCAATAACCCCTCCTCAGCCCTCTGGATAATAGTTTCGGTAATCCCATTCCTCCTCCTTATCTCCAAACTATGGATTCTCTGCATTATATTCACACCACACATTGCCCTCAGACATGACATCTCCACTGCCTCTGGCCTTCTCCTTTTGCAACATTCACAACCCATGCCTCACACCTATACAAGAGCGTTGGTATAACTATACTCTCATACATTCCCCTCTTTGCTTTCATGGATAAAGTTCTTTGTCTCCACAGACTCCTCAGTGCACCACTCACCTCTTTCCCCTTGTTAATTCTATGATTCACCTCATCCTTCATAGACCCATATGCTGACACATTCACTCCCAAATATCTGACCACATTCACCTTCTCCATACTCTCTCCCTCCAATCTGATATCCAATCTTCCGTTACCTAATTTTTTTGTTATCCTCATCACCTTACTCTTTCCTATATTCACTTTTAATTTCCTTCTTTTACATACCCTACCAAACTCATCAACCAACCTTTGCAACTTCTTTTCAGAATCCCCCAAAAGCACAGTGCCATCAACAAAGAGCAACTGTGACAACTCCCACTTTGTGTTAGATTCTTTATCTTTTAACCCCACACCTCTTGCCAACACCTGAGCATTTACTTCTCTTACAACACCATTTATAAATATACTGAACAACCATGGTGACATCACACATCCCTGTCTAAGGCCTACTTTTACTGGGAAATAATCTCCCTCTTGCCTACATACTCTAACCTGAGCCTCACTATCCTCGTAGGAACTTTTCACTGCTTTCAATAACCTACCTCCTATTCCATACATTTGCAACATCTGCCACATTGCACCCCTATCCACCCTACCATATGCCTTTTCCAAACCAATGAATGCCAAAAATACCTCTTTACCCTTATCTAAATGCTGTTCACTTATATGTTTCACTGCAAACACTTGGTCTACACACCCCCTACCCTTCCCAAAGCCTCCTTGTTCATCTGCTATCCTGCTCTCTGTCTTACTCTTAATTCTTTCAATAATAACTCTAACATACACTTTACCAGGTATATTTAACCCTTAAATGGTCCAAACGTAAATATACGTTCTCTCGCATAGTGCCCCAAATGTATGTATACGTTTCGTTTGTCATTCAGTCAACAATGGCACGATGAGCCTGAGTCTCCTAGACATGAGAGAATGGGTGTGCGCACTCACTGTGCGCCATATGAAAAAAATTGGGGACGCCTGGGTACCATATGCTCTTTTTTCCTATTAACCCTTAAACTGTCCAAACGTAGATCTACGTTTTTTCAGCATTTGAAAGTATGTAAAAAAAAGTAGATCTTCTTTTCTTTTTTACATTTGAAAAAGTGTAAAAAAAACTTTGATCTATGTTTTTTTGTT